ACACCCACACCCACACACACACACACACCCACACACACGACTTCTTTAAAGTCTATCAAACACTCTGAGGGTTTAATATATGAACACACACACACACCTGGCGAAGCCGACACCTCTACTCATGCCGCTGGCATCCCGTAATATCCGCGTGGAGATCACATGACCGAAGGGTCTAAGCAGCGCCTCCAGCTCCTGTTCATCCACAGAGACGGCCAGATTAGACAGGTACAGGTTAGTGGGGTCCTGCTCCTGCTGCTACAGACACACACACACACACACACACACACACACACACACACACACACACACACACACACACACACAGACAGATCATTCAGGTTACTGAAACATTTCAATCTATGATGAAACTGTCAGTTTGAAAGAGGAAACTTCATCAAACCAGTGTTATTTTGGTATCACTGATATACTATAATAGTGTTTGTTAATACTTTAAATGAGTTTTTATCTTTATATTTTGGGTTTTCACTTTAAAACTTAAATTTTTTGTTCAAGTTTTAAAATATTTTTGTTTCATTTTTATTACATGTCTTTTTAAATTTATTTTTATTTAATTAAAATTTTTTTTTAGCTATTTTAGTACTTCCAGTGAAACCAAATTAAAATGAGAAATGTTATCTTGGCAATTTTTTATTTTATTTTTATAGATTATTTTTATTTAAAGTAATGTTTTTTTATGGTTTTAACATGTTTTTAATATACTGTATATACATTTTTATTTTATTTCAAGTAACTAAAATGTATTTTATGGTTTTAAAAGAATAACAAACTATAATAATTGTAATAGTTTTATAAGAATTTTAACATTTATTAGACTTTAAAAAAAAACATCTTTCAGAAACATTGGTATGCATCTGTTACATTAAAAAACTTCTAATGTGAACAGCAATCTTCACATAAACCCATTATAATAAATGTCATATTTACCTGTGCCCTTCAGCAAGTAGGAATTATACAGAAATTGAATAAAGTTATCAAACACTAAATTCTAATTTAAATAATTATTTCAAGTAACTAAAATGTATTTTATGGTTTTAAAAGAATAAACTATAATAATTGTAATAGTTTTATAAGAATTATAACATTTATTAGACTTTAAAAAATAACAACTTCTAATGTGAACAGCAATCTTCACGTAAACCCATTATAATAAATGTCATATTTACCTGTGCCCTTCAGCAAGTAGGAATTATACAGAAATTGAATAAAGTTATCAAACACTAAATTCTTAAATTTAAATAAAGATGAATCCTAAAAGCTACAAAAGTGATCGATTTCCTCTTTTTTCTTTTGTTGTTTGATGAACAGACATCACAGCAGCTGTTATGAGGTTATTTCGGCTGCTTTAAGAGCTGCTGCTGCTGAACATGACGCGGATCTGACACGCATTGTAGTTTCTCATAACTCTTTACCTTTTCTGACCCACTGCAGCTCTTATAGTCTCTGTAATGAGCTGAGGAGTTGAATCGGGTGTGTGAGATGAGGGAGACAGTGCTGCTGCTTCAGGACAGTTTGGAAAACCACTGCATTTCGAAATTGAATAAAGTTATCAAACACTAAATTCTAATTTAAATAAAGATGAATCCTAAAAGCTACAAAAGTGATCGATTTCCTCTTTTTTCTTTTGTTGTTTGATGAACAGACATCACAGCAGCTGTTATGAGGTTATTTCGGCTGCTTTAAGAGCTGCTGCTGCTGAACATGACGCGGATCTGACACGCATTGTAGTTTCTCATAACTCTTTACCTTTTCTGACCCACTGCAGCTCTTATAGTCTCTGTAATGAGCTGAGGAGTTGAATCGGGTGTGTGAGATGAGGGAGACAGTGCTGCTGCTTCAGGACAGTTTGGAAAACCACTGCATTTCAGAGACGTGTTCTTAAATCTGAATCATATATAACAAATACTTACAAACATGCACAGTTTTAAGGCAGATTTAATCGCCTTTTTGGTAACTTCATGACTAAGCTGACGACATAATTGCGACATTGCATGCATCTCATTAACAGCATCTCATCTGACCACAGTTCACTGTTGTTCTACTGAAGCTCCTCGTCACCTGTAGCTTTTAAGTTGGAGCGCACATATGAAGGTCTCCCATTTGATGTGGTCGTAAAGAGGTTCTGCGTCTAAATAAATGCAATTCTTGTCAAGAGACAGAAGCAGCAGTTGTGAGTGGGGTGGCCAAACCTAGCTCCACCCCAACGTCAATTGAGTTAAATATTTTTAACGCATTAAAAATAATTGCATGCCGTAATGCAGTGGTTCCCAAACTTTTTCTGCCGGGCCCCCCTTTTGTAGAGAAAAATATTTTCATAAATGTATATATATATATATATATATATATACACGAAATTTAAATCATATTTCTTAAATTATGCATATCATTTAACCATTATAATACATGAATAATTATATATATATAATATTAAATAATATATAATTACAATTAAAACATAAATTAAAATGAAAATACCTTCAAATTATTATTATTATTACAATAATATTATTATAAAAATAATAATAAAATTATTATTTTTAAAGAAATATAATTCAAATACTGCCCTACTGCATCAGTCACATGTGTATTATTGTCATTTTAATCTATGGAATCACACACACGCACACACACACACACACAGCTTATTGTATGCATGTATATGTACATGTGTGTGTGTGTGTATCGCCGTCTGTGCCTGGCATGTATGTGTTCAATGTGATCTGTGTGTTGGAAGGATGGTGTGACTGGCACAGGAAACAGACGTCTCTGGCAGTGTGTGTGTGTGTGTGTGTTTCATCCTTTGGTGTAAACAGACATAAACACACACTTGGTCTCCACACATATTGGCTTTCAGACGCTCTGATGATTGTCTTTGTGTATGTCTGTTGTTGAACATGACATCAATAATGAGTCTGAGCATGTGACCAGCGACTGAAATCTATTCTAATCAAGAGGTAAATGTGAGTTTAAACATTCGTTTAATCACATCGCTCCTCATTTCATTTCCTCTCATTCTCTCTCTATTAAACTCTCCCTGTTCTTCTCATGAAGAGACGCTCCTGTAAACACCTTATACATTCTTATACAAACTTCTACATCTTTCACTGTCTCAGAATAGTGTCTCAATTTCCCAGAAGCCCCTGCTGCTGTAATTACACTAATTGGAGTCAGACTGCAACAGTTAATTGGAGAGGAATGCAGATTAAGCATAAGACACATTTATCCTTTACACTATGTTAATGTGCTCTAGGTGTGTCTAGCAGAGTCTTTACTTTACTACTGAGATTCACTAATTACTACAAATGCCTTACAATCAATGCAAAATACTCAAGTGTAGTTATGGTTTAGTACTTCATGTTACATGGTGATTGTTTACAGTGTATTACAGTGATTCACACAAAGCATCATGGGAATAAATTCAAATCTCTATGCCTATGGAAAGCAGCACAGCTACAGGCCTAATGAACACCGGATCATCCTGCCATTCCAGGTGAGGGAGAAAATTGACATTTGATTAGCATCTCATTATCATATGATTAGTGAACCCACTGAATCAGACCTGAAAAATAGAAAAACTGCAGAAAAAGCCAATACGAAAGATAAAGATTTAAAAAATAAGATAAAAGAGAACTTCGGATCTATAACAGACTTCATAAGCCCTAGAAAACGAATAACTTTGACTACCTCTGAAAAAAAAAAAAACATTTATTTTCCACTGATGTCATCTGGCTCTGGAACAGATTTTAAGTTTTGAAGGGCAAACAGAGGGAGTTGTGGGTACCAGAGGAGACAGATGCATTGTGGGACGGTTCCCCTGCCTCGCTGGTCTAATTACAGCTCATGCACAGTATGAGGCCTAATACGAGATGCACAAATAGACTCTGACTCTCAGAATTATCAGACTGTTTACATGCACCGGATCAGTCCCTGACTGCAGATTCTGGATAAAGCATCAGTTTACATGAGCGTCACATACATCACAAACTAAAGCTCATGCATGTGAAGAGACAGCGTGAGAACCAGATCTCATCACCTCTGAATCTTCGTTCTGATTCTGTGTGTGTGTCAGACAATCTGTTAGACCAACTAATTAACACCCGACTCGCCTGTCAAACACTAACGAAAGACAGAGAGAGAGAAGAAGTGCAGTTTTTATTACACTCACAAAGGAGGAAAGACAGGAGGCACTTCACATGAATATGGAAAAACGTCTTGAAATCTATAGACGCAATTAGATAAAGTGCAAAAATAAAATCATGCAAATGATATATAAACAAACCCCTCAGTAAAAACCTTCAGAATATAGAGAGGAATAAAACTGTACATTTTGGTGTTTGTAAGTACTGCTGAAGTGGAGAAAAAACTTCTTAAAAAAATGTACTGTTCTTGAAATCTATAGACGCAATTAGATAAAGTGCAAAAATAAAATCATGCAAATGATATATGAACAAACCCCTCAGTAAAAACCTTCACAATATAGAGAGGAATAAAACTGTAAATGTTGGTGTTTGTAAGTACTGCTGAAGTGGAGAAAAAACTTCTTAAACAAATGTACTGTATTTAAAATCTACAGACGCAAATAAACATTAACACTTAAATGTGTATTTTGGATTTTCCACTAGTATGAAACAGCATGCCATGAAAAGCCAAATAGACTAAAACCTAAAAAACTGACCAGCACATGAAAAATAATGGTTTTGCTTGTAGTGTCTTAAGAAGATTTTTGTGAATCTGGCTCCAGAGCCTTGAGCAGATCATGTCTAAATGCAGTCAAACTTTGTCACCCACATTCAGGAAAACCAAGGCCCATCAGAATCTATTCAACTGCACTTTTTGAAGATAGAAAATGTAAATTAAACTAACTAAAAGTGTTTTTCATTATCAGATCACCTTTAACCAAACAGTGTTCGAAAAACACCTGAAGACCCTCAGGAATCATCTTGCATTAAACCCTTCATCTCCATGGCAACAACCCTTCGACTTCACTTTCCTCCTCTGCGTTCCCCATTTTTCCTGACCTCATCCATCAGCACGCGAGCCAAGAGGAAACCCGAAAACCTGATTTATGAGTTATGAGATATTTATGAGCGATCGTTCTTTCCCACAATCCCTCACTCGTCCTTTATTTTCCGTCACACCTTCAGTCTCGGGGCTGTTTCAGCAGATAAGGGTCACACTGGTGTTAATTAAAATTTCATGGCAGATTAAATTAGTGTACACACACACACACACACACACACACATGCAGTCTTTGGATTAAAGCCCGTCAGCGGCGGCCTGTTATCCAGGAGAGACGAAGGTTTAATTAGAGGAGAAATAGGTTATAAGACCCTCTTCACAGATCAAATACTCAAATCCTTCCTCACAGACACACTGGGGAAAACAAATCTGTGAAACAATTGATAAAATGAGTTGTAGAAAGGCTAAAACAGGAATGGTGAAACACGGGTTTGTTGGAGTTGTGATGCATGTGCATTTTAATGGCATACATTTTCACCTTGTTTTTAGGAAGATTTTAGGAAGAAAATTCAATTTTAGTCTTTTATACTTCAAAGCAATTTCTAGCTATTTCTGAGTGAAGATTAGTTTATTATTAGAAGTTTATTTTATTTTGAGTAGCAATGTTTTTTATGGTTTTAGTTAACTATAATAACCCTGATTTACACAGGACGTGTTCAAACAAGAGCACAACATCATAAAAACAGATAAAACATATCTTCAATAGCGTAACTGACAGATGATCAACTCATAAACATCTACACATAAGTGAGACCTACAGACGATCCTGAAATGCGCCACTGAAGGTGATGAACAGTGTTGGGGAGTAACTAGTTACATGTAATGGAATTACATAATTTAATTACAAAATAAATGTAACTGTAATCAGTTACAGTTACTGAGAAAAAATGTGTAATTCAATTACAGTTATTTATAAAAATGTTAAAGATTACAAAGAGGGTTACATCTGAATATTTCCACACACTCACACATACAGATTTAATTGAATTATTTTATCAATTGCATTGAATGCTCTAAAATATGAGACACCAATGTTTAAGGAGTTTAAGACACACTTTTTTATTTCCCATTTGGTTTATGTATATGTTTTATTTTTTAAGATTATCTGTTTTTTCCAAAGCATCGTTAGATTCCAGTGTTTCCTGTCATAACTATGCAAAGCTTTGATTTCAAAAACAGTATCATAGCTAGTAAACTATTTATTGTTGTGATTTTAAATCTGTATTTAACCTCAGAATGGTCTCAAAGTAAAAAGAGGTGCTGAAGTCTGATTTTGTGGTGGCTGTGCTTTAAATGACATTATTAAAATCTTAGTTCCAAGTGATGAAGGATTTTGAAATTCTGACAGTAATCAGTGTTGAGTACTACTGTAAGGTTAACACTGTCTGCTTCAAATGTTTCAAAATGATTAACAGTTCAGATATTTGTTTTGTTTACACACGTTTTCAACTAAAAGAAAACCTTGAAATATAACGTAACGTTGTTGTAGAACATTGCTGTGCATAATTCCTAATCATAAGCTTGTTCAGAAATGGTGTCAAAAACCTGATTACTAAAAAATAACGCCTTTCTCGTTAAACATAATTTATATAAACAAATATTCGAATATTCGTTTTTTTATGAGCCCAAATATTTGAATACAATATTTTTGAAAAATGCCCATCCCTATATTAAAGCTAAAACAACCAGAAAACATGTAGATGTACTAGTCCGCTTCCCTAGTGCAATTACCACATAAGCAATTTAATATTATATAATAAAAACATAAAAACAGGTGTTTACCTTTGCACTGATTTGTGTTCTTGTCCAGGATGGCCTTAGTAGACACAATTTTCCCATATCTGTGAGGATAGAAATTATTTTATACAGTTTACAGATGCACATAAACAGTTTATATGTTTGAGATTTTGTTTGTATATTGATTTACTATAATAGTTTTTGTTAATATTTTGAATTCGATTCCATTTGAATATTTTCTGTTTCCACTTTAAGTTTTTTAAATTAGTCTTGTGTGTTTTGTCATTTTTATTAGTTTTTTGAATGTCTGTATAATTTTTATTAATTTTTATTTTATTAATTTTAGTATGTTTAATTTGAGTTATTTTAAAAAAATATTTCCAAATGTTTGAGTTTGTTGTGTGTGAACATGCCTTCAAGCTCCAAACACACAGCTCGTCCTCATGGGGTGTGTGTGTGTGTGCGCCATAAGCACATCTCATTACAGACATACTGTTTGTGTCCGCTGGGAAACCATGTGTGTGTGTGTGTGTGTGTGTTGTTCTGTGGGGACAGTTTCACATTATCATCACTCTTGGTCTCATTAAAAGTTGAAAAGTTAACTACTTACTCAAACATAACATACAGAACTTCCTGTTTCTATGATCTAAAAATACTGACGCATGACATTAGACCCTATAAAACCGCTGAACCATAATGAAAAAGCATTACCGAACACATCCTGGGATTCAATTAAAATCATGTTTGAAATCATGGTTAATGTCACATTGAAACAGAAGGTCCAGTTGAGCGCATTGCATTGTGGGATACAGTACACAGTGTGCTTTAGTTGAATACTATGGAAGCATGTTTCTGTCACCGGAATTTTTCTCTCAGAATTGTGAGATGTAAACGCAGAATCTACAGCTATAAATTAAAAAATGCAAGAAAAATTGTGAGATGTAAACTCAGAAATGTGAGAAAAGTCAGAATTGTGAAATTGGGATATGAGAAAAACAATTCCAAGACGTAAACTCAGAATTGCAAGAAAAATTTCAGAATTGCGAGAAATAATTGTAAGACGTAAACTCAGAATTGCAAGAAAAAAAAAATCAGAATTGCAAAAAAAGACAGAACTACAAGATATAAACTTAGAATTGCAAGAAAAAAAATCTGAATTGTGAGATGCAAACTCATAATTATGAAAAAAAAATTCAGAATTACGAGAAAAATCTCAGAATTGTGAGAAAAAATTGCAAGATGTAAACTCAGAAATGTGAGAAAAGTCATAATTGTGAGATTGTGAGATGAGAAAAACAATTCCAAGGCATAAACTCAGAATTGCAAGAAAAAATTCAGAATTGCGAGAAAAAATTGCAAGACGTAAACTCAGAATTGCAAAAAAAATAATTCAGAATTGCAAGAAAAGACAGAACTGCAAGATATAAACTTAGAATTGCAAGAAAAAAAAGTCAGAATTGTGAGATGTGAACTCAGTCGTCTGGTCAGTTGTGTTTAAATCATTAGAGTTTTGAAAAGTTTATTTACTCATTTCTGGTCTATTTCTGGAGCTGGGATGTGGATCTTTGTATGTGTGCTGTGTGACACTCTTGAGAGTTTGGTTGTGTGTTTTTGGATAACTTATTCAGGTGATCACTCCTTCTGTGAGGAGCCTCAGCCCCTGGGGGTCAGTACAGTTTTGTTGTTGTTGTTGTTTTGTGCATACTTCTTAGTGTTTATGTAGTGATTTTCTTCCTGGTTGTTTTCTTTTTTATTTATTGTGATTGTTTTGTGTTTAGAACTTGAATTGAGTGGAATTCCCTTGAAAGCATCGGCTTTGTTGCTTCATTTTTTTCCTTTTTGTTTGTTTGTGAGTTGTACGAATTCCAGTCTTTATGTGAATCATTCTTCATGTCTTGTATCTCTATTTTTTCTCTTTATTGATTTGTATATTGCTTTCAGAAACCAAAAATTGTGCGTGTGCGCACTCACGGTTGGCAGAGTTTGATGAGGTCCTGGTCTGTGGTTCCAGGTGGAAGTCCTCGGATGTACAGGTTGGTTTTACTGAGCTGCACCAATGCACTCTGACTACAGCTGCCGCTTCCTGGACTGGGCGGGGCCATCAGCTGAGGGGGCGGGGCATATGACTGTTAGACAGAGAGAGGGCGTGGTTAACCTGAAGGTTCTAAAGAATGGTTCTAAGTGTGTTCCACTTAAAGCAGCGCTGCACAGACCAATCGGTGTATGACAAAGTAAATAAATAAAATAGATAAATAAAACTGTTCTAGTTCACATTTAATGCCATTTATATTAATTTACCTTTATATTTACCTGAAATACATTTAAGTTGAAGCAATAAAATTCGGAAATAAAAACTTATACTGTACTAAAATTGAAATAAAAATAAATGGTTAAATTTATACATATATTTTACACAAAATAATTACAAAAATTTTAAACAATATACAAAAATTCTTAATGATACTGAAAAAACTCTGATATATAATACTAAAATAGCACTGGTGCAGCAGGGTTGTGGGCAATAATATGACAATATTTTGCATGTTATATTATGCTGGATCAGACAGCAGTATAGTTACAAACGCATCCAAACTGAACTAGACTCCTTCACCCGATTCCTGTGTCTCTGTCTCTCTCCCACGATCCTTTGCTCTCTCTTGGCTGCCTTCTGTCTGCAGGAATGTGAACGTCCCACCCTTGTGATCAGCTTTGTTTTAAAGGTCAGGAGTTTTACACAATGAAATCATCAAACTGCACACTTTACTCGCCAGTCGCCACATGCTGAAACATGCAGAACGCACGCAGAATAAACCACATGCTACTGAGGGAGGAAAAGAGATGATAAATGTCCTTCTGTGAGACGTCCATGTGTCTCAGTCTGTCAGGAGAGGACAGTAAAGCTGAGACACTATGAAACAGAAGAACAAGCAGCAGTAATGTCACATAGTCAGACTTGTGATCTGCTCCACAAGCTTATGCTGACCAATTAAACAGGAAGAGACCGTTTGATTACATGCAAATCAGAGCAAACATGGAAAGAAATACAGTGTCAACCACTAATATGGGCACCCTTGCTAAATATAAGCAAAGGTGGCTGTGAAAATAAATCTTTCATTCAAAAAATTCACAAAATTCTAAACTTTCATTGAAGTGAAACGATTGAAATTGGGGGGAAACTCACATTATGAAATAAACGTTTTTCTCCAATGCATGTTTGCCACAATTATTGGCACCCCTAGAAATTCTTATGTGTAAAATATCTCTGAAGTATATTCACATTCATATTTACAATTTTTTTTAGCACACCAGGGTGACTAGGAGCATGACTTCCTGTTCCACAGGATTATAAATAGAAGGACACAAAGGCCAAATTCCCTTAATCATCCATCACAAAGAGTAAAACCAAAGAATATAGTGCAGAACAAGATTGCTGAGCTTCACAAAATAGAAAGTGGCTGTAAGAAAATAGCTAAAGCATTTAAAATCCCAATTTCCACCATCAGGGCAATAATTGATAAGTTCCAATCAACTAAAGATATTACAAATCTGCCTAGAAGAAGACGTGTGTCTATATCGTCCTGATGCCCGGTGAGGAAGAGAGTTTGAGTGGCCAAAGACTCACCAAGGATCACAGCTGGAGAATCGCAGAGATTAGCTGAGTCTTGGGATTAGTTGAGCCCCTACATCACCACATGCTGTTTGGGAAGGTTTCAAGAAAAACCCTCCTCGCTCATCCAAAAACAATCTCCAGCATATTCAGTTGTCCGACACGACTGGAACTTCGAATGGGACTGGCTTCTATGGTCAGATAGAAAAAAAAAGCTTTTTTGGCAGCAAACCCACCAGATGGGTTTGGTGCAAACAGGGATAAAAAGTAGCCCATGCACACAGTTAAATATACTGCTGGATCTTTAATGTTGTGGGCCTGTTTTTCTGCCGGAGGTCCTGGACGTCTTGTTCAGATATTGGCATCATGGATCCTATCAAATACCAACAGATAAAAAATCTAAACCTTCCTGCCTCTGTTAGAAATCTTATAATGGGCCGTGGTTGGATCTTCCATCAGGACAATGATCCAAAACAAACATTAAAATCAACACAAAAATGTCTCACTGAGCACAAAATGAAGCTTCTCCCATGGCTTTCCCAGTTCCCTGACCTGAACCCTGTAGAAAATGAGTGTGATGAACTGAAGAGAAGAATTTGTGACTCTGAAGGGTCTGGAGAGGTTCTGGATGAAGGAATGCTCTCTGATCTCTTGTCAGGTGTTCTCTAACCTCATCAGGCATTATAGGAGAAAACTCAGAGCTGTTATCTTGGGAAAAGGACGTTGCGATAATTGGGTGCCAATAATTGTGGCCAATGTGAACTAGAGAAAAACATTTATTTCATAATAAGATTTTCCCCTCACTTTCCATTGTTTTACTTTAATGATAGGTTAGAATTTTGTGAATTTTTTGAATGAAAGATCAAAAAGATAAATGATGCAGATTTATTTTCACAGCTGCCTTTGCTCATATTTACCAAGGGTGCGAATATTAGTGGTTGGCACTGTATGTGCTAAACGCAACTTGCACATGTGCACAGAAATGCAGCCAGATAATGACTGAAAGACAGCGAGTGGTACACATTTCACTGGATTCATGTTTCTTAGATGAAGCATAAGAATAAAAATAAATAAATAAATAAATGATGGGAATTATTAATATTTTCATTGAAATCAAGATGACAAAAAAGGAAAAAAGTTAAATAAATATAATAAAATAAAATAAAAAGAGTATGTATTTATTTATCTTCCACAAAATGGAATAAAAAAAAAATAAAAAATAAAAATTTAATTTTTATTTTACACTGAATTCAAGGCAGGGTTATTATAGTTAACTAAAACTAAAACCATAAAAAAGCTATTTTATTTAAACTAGTTAACAAGGCAAATTTTCTCATTTTGATTTAGTTTAACTATATGTTCTAAAATTAAAATATTAATAAAAACTATATACACATTTAAAAACAAAAAAGAAAATCTAAAAAGAAAATCTAATTCAAAATATTAAAATCTATAATAGTATCTCGATGATACTAAAATAACACTGATTCAAGGTCCTTAGAAAAAAGCAAGTAAAGATATAAATAATAACAATAATTCAATATAATTCAAAATGTAATTTATTTTTTTTATTACTATTTTTTTTTCTTCACAGATTTAAGGTTCATATAAAAAAACAAGTTCAAAATAAGATAAAATAAAAATGAAAAATGTATTCATCCAACTACAATCACAGCTGCCATGATCACTAATGAACATAAACATCCCTTCAGCTCAGCACTAGCTTTCTGTGGGTGGTAATAACACAACGTTAATTGCATCAGGCAAAGAAGAGAGTCACAGAGACTCTAAACACACATCCTTCATCTGCTCTCATTACAAACACAGATTCAATGAACAACGACGACATCACCCAGAGGACTCAACATCATATATTAGGACAGACACGTGTGTGTGTGTGTCCTTGAGGGACAGTTCGTGTTTAATTGGCTGCACTCTTACAGAGTCTTTTATGATTCTCACAGGAAGGATTGATACACACACACACACACACACACACACTCTCGCACACACACACGCTCACACACACACACACACACACACACACACACACACACACACACACTCACACACACACACACACACACACACTCACACACACTCTCGCACACACACACGCTCACACACACACACACACACACACACACACACTCACTCACTCCATCAGTTGTGTTACTTTCTCACCTAAAGCTCAGAATTAAACCCCAGCTCATGACTAAATCCTGTTCAATATTAAGATTCATCTGCCTAGAAATGTAGTCCTACCTCTGAAACGAGTTGCCCAACGCTACAAATCAAATACTAAACATTTCATTCATAATTCATGTCACAGATGCAGTACACAGAGCTGAAGACACACAGAACCTGAAATATTAAAGCTGCATCAACACCTGATAAAGAAACGAGTCTAAACACAATCTGACCATCAAAACATGAACATCTGCTGTTGTGAAGTCGACTCGGTGTAAAGTCTCTGGTTTGTTTCCAGAGACTGAAATAAAGCATGATTTATTCTTTAACTGACAGACATTCAGAGCTCACAAACCAGTCAAACCCCCTCAGAACCTCACGGTTCAACTCAGTTTTGATTCAGAGTCAGAGTGTGGTTCCCAAATGATTCTTGATTCACCTCAATGTTTGTAGGAGTACAAATGAACATAAGGTGAGATTAAATGCATAAAGGTTACAGCACTAAAACGCATCTGCTCTGAGAAACAAAATCTGCAAATGACCTTGTATACTGTATATGAGTATGAAAGTTTCAAAGTTAAATCAAACATTATTGCAGTATATTTTACAAGAAAATACTATTGAGTTTTTTTTACTTTAAAATTTCACATAAAATTCAACATGTTACATGCATTTTTATTATTATTATTATTTGTGAAATTTATTCCGCAATATCTGCGCAAAAAGTAAATCCTACACCATTTTTTTTCCAGTAATAAAAGGAGATGCATTTATATGGAAGCTTGTTTCTGCCACAGGATTAAAAAAATAAAAAAATAAATACATTTAAAGGTAACTGCGACGTTATCTCACAATTTACACCTTTTTCTCATAACTCTGAGAAGAAAAATCAAAATTTTTAAATAAGAAGTCACAATTACCTTTTTATTTTTTATTCTGTTAAGGAAACAAAAAAAACTGAATTGAGAGTTGAAATCTCACGTCCTCAAATGTCCCTAAAGAGAGGCCTCATCAGATTTAGCTCACAAGCTACAGCTAAACACACACAGTGAATGCACATGAGAGGAGGACGACACTCATTCAGCATCATCAATGATCAATATGGAGAGGTCTTAGACTGAATATATAAATATTGATACATTCATTTGAGCCCTGAGCTCATCTCATCACACTCACACTCACTCACACACACACACACACACACACACACATACACACAGCTGTAATAGCCATTAAAACACACACACACACACACACACAGGAGATTGAATTGGTTTCTCTGAATCTTCACTGTGGGGGTTTGGGTCACTCCTCAATCTGTGCAGGTCA